TGAACATACTTTCTATGTATTTTTTTATAAAAAATCAGGTATTTTTTTTTTGTGTAGTAAGTAGTAGGATGCTTTGCAAATTAACGTAACTACATTTAGATCAATGGAAAACTGAATATGATAAGCTAATTTCCCTATAATATTAGGAATTGAAAGTCTTGAATATTTATTCAGGTCTCATCCAAGCATATGTGAAATGTCTTTGTTAGCACTTAGGTTCCAAGCAGTGCTTGAAACTTTGAAATGTAGAAGGAATTGAATTTTTATTAATCAAGTATAATGTTCTTTATTAATGCTTATTAAATATGGAATGTTACAGTATCTTTTGCAGCACACTTTTTTCCTTTTTCTTATCTTTTAAGCAATGGACCCTACAAATAGCAATTTCCGTTGTCCCTAGTTTTCACTCAGAATCTTCATTCCCATCCTTTTTTCCCTCTCTGAGGTTTTTTGGGCCTCTGATGTACTTCCAGAAATGCTTTCAGCATTACTCAGTAAGGAAGACTGATGACAATTATATTAAGGTTAAGAACAGTCTCTTGAGCCTACAGATGATTCTTCGAAATTTTGTTTCTAAAACTAGTCTGTAGATTGATTCAATTTATTTAAAATGTGAGACTTGCTGGGGACAAGTAAATGGCTGTAGTGAAAGTTCAGTTGAGAACTGTAGGAAAAGGGGTACTCAATGTTCAGTACTGTTATATACCCTTCTCTTTATCAGTTTATTCAGAGACTAGCAGAAACAGCTATACATAATGCCATATTTTAAAGCTTTCCTGTGAAGTCTGGATGTATTTCTGGAAGATACTGCTCACCCAAGTACAAAATATCATACTCAGCAAATGTTTGTGAAATATTTTAGACAACTGCAAAACGCCACCTGGCTGTAACTACCCAGGTCAATGGTCCACCATTTCATCCAGAAATGAAGAAAATGCTACAAATTTTTTTATTGTTATTATTAGTCATATATGCTCTGCCCAAAGAAGCATTGTCGAATTATAGAAGTATTAGTTTACTGCAAAAGAAGTTGAAAACTAAGATTGTTTAGGAGGGGCATAGAGGCTGTGATTGTAAAAGACAGCAAATATTAGAGCTGAGGATACGTTAAAAAAACCCAAAATAAATAAAAGAAAAGAGAACAGCCTACAATACTGGCTGATGCTTGTAGGAATGATTGTATGCGGCGAATAGGAAGGTTAGCTTTTGAAGACTAGAGGATGTGAGTGTTATGGAAGTTTGAGGTAGGGTATAAGAAGGTATTTTCATCAGATCTTAGCATCTGTGTAATCTATCTTATCGATCATGGTAGCACTATATTCTAGGATTTTTCTCTGTAAGGGGCTTTATTGTCTAAGAAGCACACCCACGAATCAAAGACTTGTTTTTTTGGTTGGGTTTTTCTTGCCATTTCAACAGAAAATTAAATATGCTGGAACATACTAATTCCAAAATGCTACAGTTTTCATTATTATAATTGAATAAAGTAGTGCACATGAATGCTTTTTGGCTGCTGTATGGACTATGGATAAACTACTAAACTATTTTAGGTTAATTTTTAAGTTAAGTTCAAATTCAGACAGATGAAGAGATAGCAAAGAGATTTAAAATAAGTAAAAGGGATTTCACTGCAGAAGGAGCTAAATGAAGCTAATGAAGCTAAAATATTATTAGCAGAGTTTTGTTCTGGAGGAGTTTGATCCTAACAAACCCTGGAAAGGCTTGACTGTGGAAGGATTAGTTATACAATGAAATTTATAATAACACCAAGGTCACGGGTTCAGTCTCTGTATAGGCCATTCACTTAAGAGTTGGATTCAAAGATCCTTGTGGGTCCCTTCTAACTCAGAATATTTTGTGATTCTGTGATTCTTTTTTTTTTTTTACTCTTAGTAAATAGGGATATCGTGCAATGGATTTGTCTTTTGCTCAACAGAATTACCCTCAGGAGTCTGATCTCTGGAAAACATATAGCATGGAATAGATATTAGGAAAAGACAATGGAAAATATATTTTGAAAAAAACTATGAAATGAGAAGGTCTTACTTATGTTTTATTTGTGGTTTAATATTCTTAGTGTCTCTAGAATACTGCCCAGATTGCTATAGCCACTCTTCTCATCACGGCTAGGTTTCGCAAATGAAGATTAAGGAGCCACTCTTCTAGAACCCTTAAAATGCACCATTTCTTCATAACAATCAAGACACTAAAAAATGTATAGCAGCTTCAGACTGTCTTTAAATGCCGGGTTCTAAAAATTACTTGCTCCAGCCATACTCTTTATACAACTCTATCAAAGCATAAAGAAAGGCATATTGAGAATGTTTTATAGAGTTTGGCCTCGTAAGCCAGTAACTCCAATGTAACCTTGGCAGTAATACCATGTAAGGTCAGGAGGATCTATGAAACCATACCAGAAATGCCAGAATTTGTGTCAGAAATAACAGAATGAATATCAAAATATCAGAAATAACAGAATAGATATGGATGTAATGAACAAAACTGAGGTCAAGGTGATGCTGATGGAAAATTATAAGTAAAGGGCTGTTGGTATGGGATGAGACCGTGGTAGAGCTAAAGAGAAAGAAGAATTGGAAAAATTGTAAAGGGAATAACAAAAATTAAATTATTTGGCCAGAACTATCAGCAGTAACCTGTGGTTCAACCATGAGCTTGAGCACCATAAGCTAGTTGGGACAATAACCCAAATCTGTTGTTCTGACCATATCAAACATGTTTTTGTGAAGGTCTATGGAAAGAAGAGTGTGCTTTCTGAAGGATGAAATGTTCAGCTGAATGGAATAAACTTCCTGGCATCACATTGTCAGTGCCTGTTCCAAACCCAAGACTATTTGCATCTTTTAAGCTTAAACAAGCAAACAAACAAAACCCCAACTAAAACAGTGTTTTCTTATTTGCTCAAGTATGACATTGGAAGTAGATTTTGCATAATACAGATGGTAGCTGCAAATCAAAATACTTTGCTCACTTATTTTATGTATTTAGGCAACAGTGAAATATTTCTGAGACAATAATTGCCTCAAATTCCTGAAACTCTGGAGACCATTATTTTCCTGTAATCTGAATATGCATTGTTTTCTTATTAGTGTTGATTTACCTCTGCTACGTGCTTTGGATAACCAGAAATCAGGGTTAAGACTAATGAAAAGAAGATGTGTAACCATGGTTGGCATTATAGATTTTTAGCAATGCACAGCTTCTCTCTTTTTTCTTTGTTTCTTTTCTTAAACATTTTCTATGGCAATAAATGTATCCTCACTTGTGATGTGTTTAAAAGAACCCAAGCTCAGCAGAAAAGGCTGTCAACCAGTAACTCAGTTTGGAAAGTAAAATGATTTTGAATTTACTTTTCAGAATAGATAGTCTTAAGGAATGCAAAATAGAGTAGCTTTTCAGAGTAATTCAGTGATTTACTGTACAGCCTTCATAAATCAGAATTTAACAGTTGAAACAACATAAACAATAAAACCCAAAATGAAAACACAAACAACAATAAAAAAACCCAAACCAAACCAAACAACCAACCAACCAACAAACAAACAAACAAACAAAAAACCAAA